GTATCTCATACATCCCTATCAATTTATGTCAATATATATGAAACATCATAGAGACGCCTGCATTATATTCTATATTTATCTTTAGGATGTCTGTATGATATATTTTATACATTCATCGTATTCGAGATAAGATATCTTTTGGATATTGTATACAAGAATATTTTCGAAATTTACTCATTATGATATACTGATGATATTATTAGGAGATTGAGATATATTTCGCATATCCGCGATGATTTTAGTATATCCCATTGATATCCATTGCTGTGTGGGGCCTGTCTATTTTATTTAATATCTCTAAAGTTTATGTAGTTATTTGCAAAATGACTTTGATCATTCCTTCCAGTTTAATGTTTTTCGAGTAATTTAACATTCCTATTTTTGTAATACTATAATTGAATCGGAAATCTAAAAAAAAAACTGACGTTTCCACTTAGAATAAATTTTTTATGCAAAACGAGCGCGATCTCAGTGAGAAATGACTTATTGATCGACGTCTTTTCGACGTCGATCGATAAGTCATTTCTCACTGGGATATTATCCTAACAGCACAGATATCCAGGGAACGTCCTGAGTACGTTCTGAGAACGTCCCAATATCCTCAGAATATTCCTGGAACGTTCTCAGAAGTTCTTGTGCTGTCTAGGTAGACGTCGATTCAATATCGAATAGACGTCTAGAGAGATTGTAAATAATCGACAAAATAAAATTCCGAAATTTTATCGAAAACTCTCTTTTAATGGTCAATATATTATAAATAAATTCTAAAACATTAGAATTTACTCAAAATAGAAGACGTCTAAATTGCCATTTTTCTAGACGTGCATTTAGACTAGACGTAACTTAGACTTCTTCGACGTCGGTTAGACGTCGAATCGATGTCTATGTTCTCTCTGGGTATACGTTTTATAAACGTATGTAACGTTTTATTATCATTTGTAAAACATATCAAAAACGTTTCTTAAACAATACGTGTTACTTAGGAAACATCACGGGAGTGAGTGACAAGTTATAAAGACAGAGGTTAACATCAAATTTTGTGAATCGGCAGTTTCTCGTGCTATTTTGTCGAAGAAGAAGAAGAAGTTAGTACCAAATGTCAAAAGCCGTAAATTTCAGATAATGTTTGCATCGAGTTCATAAGCGTAAAAATAAACAGTGCGACTGTTTTTACTATAGGTCGTATATTTATATAAAAAAATAACGTTATCTGAAATTTATGGCTTTTGACATTTGGTACTAACCTTCTTCTTCTTCTTCTTCTTTTTCTTCCACAAAACAGCACGAAACTACCGACTCATAAAATTTGATGTTATCTCTGTCTCTATAAAGGCCATCACACACAAAATTCCGTAAGAACTTAAAACATAAGCGTAAAGAAATCGACTAATCCCAATTGAACACTCGGCTCTTCATAACCCTTCCATTATTACGAAGAGCCGAATACTTGATTGGGATTGGTCGAGTTCCTTACGCTTACGACTTAAGTTCTTACGGAATTTTGTGTGTAATGATCTTTACTTATCACTCACTCCCGTGATGTTTAGTTTTGATACCGTGACATATAATCTGTCACAACTCTACACCTCTTTACACTCTTCCGTCCGACAATGATAGTGGGTGCTTCCGAAATGTCCAGGTTTGGGTCAAGTTGAGTTAGTTCCACTATAGTATCCGTTACATATACTATAATGGAACTTACTCAATTCGACTCAACTCTGGGTATTTCGGAAGCACCCATTAATTTGGCTTGAGAAATGAATCTATGGATCCTAGGAATTTTTGAACGTTGCTAACGCTGTCCCCTCTTTTTTTATGGATTTTGTCCGCTTACCATAATAATTATCTAAATACCCGTCGCGAAAAATAAATATTAAATATATTATAAAATAAAAATAGTTTTACCGTTAAAAAAAATCATTGAAAGTAAATGGCTTTTTCAATGGTATTTTCAATGGCAAACTGAATGAGTTTTTGCCAATAGTAATATTTTAACAGTGAGCGATTTTACCACTGGTCAGTGGTACTTACCAGTGGTACCAAATATATAAAATATTATTAACATATGTTTAACCTAACCGAAAGTGTGGATGCTCCAAACAGAAAAATTTTGAACATTACCTTCGCATCTACATTTGTAAGCTTAAAAATATCAAAAAAGTTTACAGAAAGATTTCTACACATATATGGTTAGGTTTTCCATTGAATATGGTAAAACAAAACAACACACATTCATATAAATTCTATATATACAAGAAATACGAAAAGGATAGCGTGATTATTTAGTGACGATCGTCTCTGTATTATCGACGTTGTTCGAGTTCGTCATCGATCCAGCATCCCTTAACGACGGATCAAACCATCATCGGTTGCATGGGCAACGAGTTCCAAACAATCATATATACGTTTGCACGACTACGCGCACGTTTATGTATTAAAAATTTTTATCGTGCTTGTATGTTACATACAATGACTTCAGATTAAAGATTCGAAGGTGATGGTGATAAAATGTACCAAACTAGTGTGCCGTCCGAGGCCGCGCTAGAGCCTAGTGTAATAACACAAAGTATACTCGTTTCGTTAGCAATCGATCAGGGACCAAAGAAAGAGGCCGGTAGATTATTCTTGCAGGATGGAATTGAATTGGAGAAGTTAAAGGAAATACGTATTGAATTTCTTAGTAAGTTATATAATAGATATATAAACGCGTCTTACCACCCTTATAGAAATATCATACTAAGAATCATTGATAATTACTTATTATCCAGTATTTTTAATACTGAAAATAAGTAATTATCAATGATTCTTAATATGATATTTCTATAAGGGCAGTTGAAATATGAAATGAAATATAAATAAAAGAAAACAAAGAAATTGATTTATTCACGCTTGCACTGCAAAATATAACTTATCAACATTAATAGTCTTGATATAATTATGATATATTCCATAAGTGATAGTGTAAGCGTTATATTCCCCATGGAATCAAACAATTTTTTTTTTAGAACATCTTTTTCTAAAATGAAACGCAACTGAAATAATTGAGGTGACAAATTCTCTTTGTATATTGACGACGTATATAAATGTTAATTTCTCTCTCTCTCTCTCATAATTATTATTATTATTTATTAATATTTTATTTCTCTCACACATGATCAGTATTATATTATTAATTATTTGATAGATATCCTAAACATCGATCATCTCTGGATGTTGAAAGGCTTGGTAAAATTGACATTATCCCACAATGTTATCGAGCGAATCGAAAATCTAGACGAGCTCGTCCACTTGCGCGAGCTGGATCTTTCGTTCAATCGTATCAAAGTTATGGAGAATCTAAATAATCTCGAACAACTAGAGATTCTGCTATTATTTCGCAATAAAATCGCCGTTGTACAGGGCATAGATAACTTGAGTAAATTGACTATTTTGAACATCGGAAAAAATAAAATCACTGACTGGGAGCACGTATGTGCATATTGGTTTTTATTAATTTTTTTAATTTTTTCTTCTCGACTTTTGATAATATTGCATCATCGTAGGTCACGTACTTACGCAACTTCAAGTTTCTACGGAGTTTAAACGTGTGCGACAATCCCTGTGCCGAAATTGACGGATACACGGATTATGTGTTTGCATTCATACCGCAATTGCTTTATTATCAATACAGAATGATACCCGAGAGCGCGCGGCAGTCCGCCATAGAAAAACACTAGTAATTATTGTCCCTCTGAAGTCTGAACGACTTTTAATGTATGTACACAGAACCCAGTAAACACAAAGTAACAGTAACATAACATCAATGGCTGCGTTCAGAAAACATAGCTGATCAGTGAGCGGTCAGTGATTATTGGTCCTTACTGTTAAATCTCTAACTTTAGACCAATTACATTGACGAATTGTTCAACTGTTGTGCAATTGTTGAGTTCGCTGAACGCACCCAATGTTATAATTTCTGACCAATAATGTAACTGTTATATAACAAGCACGTTATATAACAGTTACATTGTTGAGTAGGAAATTATAACATTGATGTTATGTTACTGTTACTTTGTGTTTACTGGGGAAATGTCAAAATAATTGCCGTGACAAAACAATTTTATTGATTTTTCTGTACAGTCGCGTAATCAGTAATCTTGAGGAGAACGAGACGAAGAAGCAAGCGGAAGTATCGTTACGACGAGAATTCGAGGAGAAGCTCGGATTATTAATCGCGTCGTACGTAGAACACCTCGATGGAGATGATCTTTTCCAACAAATGTTTGCTTCTGACGAAAGTATATATATATACATTTTATTTTCATATTCGTATATGATTATTCCATGATAGTAGAACCAAGCATAGTTGAAATAAATAAGATAAAATTATCATGTATAGATATACAACTTATTTAATTGTACTATGCCGCTTTAGATGGTAAAACTCTCAGTATGGTAACTGAAGAAACGCAGGACATATTCGAGAAATATAGAGAATCTTTTTCCGCGATATGCAACGAATTGTGCGAACTGGGTTTGCAAGAACACAACAAAAGAAACGAAGAAATGGCATTGTACGAGGCTGCTGTTAATGAAGGCGAGGAGAACATGCAAAATGAATCGAGAAAGTAAAGGATGAAATAAGTATCGACATTAATGTGGACGTTCACTCTTCAAACTGCGATATTTATTTTAACTATTGACTTGATTTAGTCGTGATGTGTAAAGATCCGTCTACAATGACAGTAAAGAATAGCTGTAAGAAGAGTGAGAAATTCACCAATCACAGTTGAATGTGAAAAGAATGTAATCGACTGTGATTAGTCAATTTCTTACTCTTATTTCTTACAGCAATACTTTACTCCCACTATAGATGTTCCTTAAAAATGACCTTATGCGTTGTCTATAATGGCAGTAGAAGTAGTAGTAAGAAATAAGCAAAAGCAAATTGACCAATTTCTGTAAGAACGATAAGGAGTAGGTGTGTGGATGAGTGTGAATATGGTAGATGAAATATAAGCAAAATCCCTTTCTGGCATTGTAAGCTGAAGTAATAAAGTATTATACAAATTGACCAATTCCATTTTTACGATTCAAGAATAATCTACTGTGATTGGTCCATTTATTTACTACTTATTTCTTATTGCTACTCCTACTGTCATTGTAGACAATGCATTATGCATATATAATTTATTCCTTCGCTCTACTGTATAAGGATTGTGGATGAAGTACTTGAAAGAAAAACTGTGATATTCGCGAACATAAAGGATGCAGTGGAAGCTCTAATGGAGGCGGAGGGCGATACGGCTGACAAAATCGCCAAGAAAACAAAGCAATTTTTTAACGAGTTCAATGATTTGGTACAAAATGCACGAAATCAATTAATGTCTAAAGAACTTATATTACACAATCAGTTGAAGGTAAGAATGTACATGTTAGCTCATTCTATACGAGAAATATCGCGAATAAAATTAACAATTTAGTTTTTCTTTAAAAAAAGGACCTAAATGAAGTGTTCAAGATTAATATGACAGATATGGTAAACTCATTCTTGGATATTGCTCGAGCAATCTTCTCGCGTTTACGAAACGCAGAAGTTGAGTATAATCATTCTGTAAACGCGGCGATTCTACGTTATCTAAGTATTAGAATTGGAAACAACGTGAGCGTACCGGCTCACTTAATAAACTTATGCGATGATAAAAAATCCTTGACGACCACTCTTTCTGCGTCACACGATATACATTTACAAGTGAGTATTCGAGATAATTTGAAGATTATTCAAGACGATTAGAGTAACTCACTATCTATGGTCTATGATTACAGATAATATACAATCGGGAGCAGCGTCTAATCAATCGATTCAGTGATTGGCTCAAAGAGAATGTCGATCAATTGATAGCGTAAGTAACGAATATTAATAACTTGATACGTTTTCGTATCATATACTTTATCATGTGATTTATTAACGAAGATGCACGTGAAGATTTCATGATTTCATACACAATAATTCTTTTTTTTCACGAATAGGAATGAAACTAAACGGAGTCGTAAGCATATATTGGAAATATCGCATTTCTTCGAAATGCAACAAGAGGAATTTAACTTGCTCAGCATACCGCAACAATTTGATATAACGGATATTGATTTAAATGAGGTTGCTACATTGTAAGATCGATGATCAATGAACGACATTTAGGTTATATATGAGATAAAATTTATAACAAGAATGTAAGTTTTATGCAACAATATGAAAATATTTATTTATATAATATTATGAAAAATATCCATCCAAAAAGGCACAATAATGAAAAATATCCATCCAAAAAGGCACAATATTATAAAGAATAGAAAACGCGAATATTATCTCTTACCAAGATATCTATCGCTGGTTCTGTTTTAAATACTCGATGTATAATTTGAGGCCAGCTTGTATTTTTGGCAATTGTAACGTATTTACGAATTGTTCGGTATCAATCTCTTTATTCTTGTTGAACCATTCGATTAAGTCCTTTCGCAATTCCAATTTGCTGAGACCCCTGCCAAGTTCTTTAACATAATAACGTCCGATTAGTATCAAGTAAAAAGCAATATGCGAGAAACACAATAAAATTCATTCTTACGGGGTATATTTTCGAAAGACAATATGTAATTTTTGCATTTTTCAATTGCATCAGTCTTATCTTTAGCGAGTTCGTCCACAAGACCAATTTCTAACGCCTTCTCGGGTTTAAATAACAAGCCCCTGTGAATACGATGATTATAGATTATGATGTTGTATAGTATCTTATTGTCGTATATTCATTAGTCTTACATACTTCAAGAGCGCAATCTCAGCTTGTCGGTAGCCCAACAACGAAATATATATATCTCTGAACCATTTTGGAGCGACGAGACCTAATTGCGTTTCGTTCAATCCAATAGAATGCTTGCCCTCAACAAAAACTCTGTATTCTGTAGACATTGAAAGCAAACAACCTCCAGCAGGACTGGAACCCTGTGCAGTTATAATGTTTCTGTTACACCGTCACATGGATATAGGATGCATAAGTAAATAATAAACATTGGAGAGAGCCTATACATTAATAGCAGCTGCTGTTGGAATATCTAAACTGTAGAGAGTCAGCCAAGTGCTTTGCAATGCATGCCAGAAGGTAACAAGTTTATTTTTATCTTCAGTACAAAGTTCCATGATATCTACTCCTGCTGAAAATATAGTTGGTAAGGAGGACGTCAATATGATGCCTTTGCTGCGTGAATTTTTCGCTTCCAATAGAGATGTTCTCAGCGAAACTAATAGTTCTGTATTTAAACTGTTGACTGGTGTCCTTGACATAGATATAATATCGATGCCTGTCAAATTATTGAGCTTTGCAAAATAAAAAGTTGTATATTGGGAACATTTGGATAAAAAGAATAGTGGTAATTGTTCAGAGTTTACACATATCTCCAATATCGACGAAAAAATACTTAACCGACGCGTTTTTTAAAACTCTTGACTCTTCGCATTGTCTATCTCTTTTTAATGACATCAGAAGCGAGAAAATGCATGCTAAAAATTCTTGCGAAATACGTTAAAATAAAAATATATATCCATAAAGTAACACTTGCAATCGACAAAGAGCCCGGCCAAGTCCCAGCGGTGCATGTTCCCCAAAATGGGGCGGTTGAATTTGGGGTCGAATGGGAAAAGAAATTGTAGATCTGGACGAGCTGAAAACGAAATGGTGTTTTTTACGTTACACTGACACACCGTTCTCGAGATATCCGGTCCGGAAGTCCAGGTGACCAATTATGGATTTTTAAACTTTAATTGCTACGGATGGCTGCCAAATGGTCATTTCAAGTCCTAAAAATGTGATTAATGGTTTAAAATGAAGCTTAGTAGATTCCCTCAAAACAATTTATAAGTATTTTTTATTTTCCAGCTAAAATGAACGAATGGGGGCGCTTCAAACACTAGGTACTTGAAAATTTATTTTTTCATTGAAGATTTTTCACTTTTTCGACTGATTTTCGACTTTTATCAATTTTTAAATTAATAATAGGAATATACTATAATCTCTATAGTATTAGCTTTAAAATAAGCCATAGATTATTAGAATCGGATAAATTTTCGCTGAGATATCGCAATTTTTGTCGAGTAAAGTCAATGAATGTACTAAAGTTTTTTGAAAGTCAATATTGTATCTTTATAAATGTTTTAACCTTTTATGTCGAAGGCCCTTTATGACGTTCCGGCTTCCAATATACTTTTCTCTTCGACAGCTTTCCTGATTCTTTAATATGTATGTCGTCCTGTTTAACGCGATCTTTCTAAGCGTAAAATTTCTGGCGATGTGCGGCGTAGAAAAAATACTCGCTATAGACTGAGTTGCACGAGGAGTTTCTGTATTCTCACTTGTGACTGACTTCATGCTCTTCACAAATGATTTCTCACTCGAATCCCTGCGAGATCTATCCCGACAAACCAACGTCTTTGAAGTCGCACAGTCAGAGCAGAGTTTGTTGTATGACTTTATCTTGACCGATAGAAAAAAAAAGCAAGTGAGATGCAAGAGAGAGAGGAAGGCCATGGGAACACGAACGACTCATGGCTAACTTTAGATACGGCAGCTCGAGCTCTCAAATAGCAATCAGTACGAGATCAACGATGAAAGTAAACCAATTGTACAGGGTGAGTCATCTGAATCTATCACCTCCAATAACTCGTTTGTGTGGCCAGGAATCGAAAAAAGTTTCATATAAAAGTTGTAGGGTTTCGAGGGGAACCAAAATGGCGTACCTTTCAACTGTTGATTTTGACCGAAAGTGGGTTACTTCAACCGGAAGTGGTTTTTTTAAAATGGAAACCCCCCTTTTTGACACCGGAAAATGAAAAAGCGGAAAATTTTACGTTCAGATATAACTTTGGCTGTTTTAAAATTTTCAAGATGGCGGACGAAGATGGCGGACAAAAATTTTAGTCAACCGATTTGCACCAAATTAAGTTTACGAGGGTTTTTGGGGTTGCTGATCACGAATCTGAAGTCAGATTTGCAAAATTCAAAATGGCGGATCCAAGATGGCGGACCAAGATGGCGGACGAAATTTTTAGCCGAAATTAATAGAAATTACTACTCTTAGCACTACCCAGGAACAACGGCGTGGACGTGGTAGTTTTTTGTTCCCTTTGGGGTGCTTTATTTACGTGAGTCCCCTTGCCTCTCACTATCGGGGTGCTTTATTTACGTGAGTCCCCTTGCCTCTCACTATCGGGGTGCTTTATTTAGTTAATTTGTAACTTCAAACAGTTAATTCGCTAAGTGTACTACTTTCCGGTGTCAAAAAGGGGGGTTTCCATTTTAAAAAAACCACTTCCGGTTGAAGTAACCCACTTTCGGTCAAAATCAACAGTTGAAAGGTACGCCATTTTGGTTCCCCCTCGAAACCCTACAACTTTTATATGAAACTTTTTTCGATTCCTGACCACACAAACGAGTTATTGGAGGTGATAGATTCAGATGACTCACCCTGTACAGGTTGCAGTTGGAAGAAGTACTGTGCAGTGTAAGGCTGGCAGTCTAACATCTAGATCAGGTACAATCACGAAACCTGGCGAGGCGAGTATAAGATCGACTCCTAGACTTTGTCGGAACGACAGCTTGATTTCAAAAGCATTATCTGAGGGTGAACATTAGTGGAGAGCTCGAGTTCTGCCGTATCTATAGTTAACCATGACTTGTTGGTTCCCATGACCTTCCTCTCTTGCATCTACCTTGCTTTTTTCTTTCTTCTATCGGTTAAGATAAAGTCACGCAGTAAACTCTGTTCTGTCCATGCAACTTCAAAGACATTGGCTTGTTGGAATATATTTCTGATAAATCTCACAGAGATTCGAGCAAGAAATCACTCGTGAGGAGTCAGAACTACGAGTGAGAATGCCGAAACTCTTTGTGCAACTCAATCTGTTTTCGAATCCTACAACTTTATCAAATAATATCTCGCTTCGCGTAGAGAGCGACGATTTTTCCAAGTAGAAAAGTTGCTTGCCTTTACAAAATGCATAATTTTTTTGTTCGTCGGTATTAGAGGTGATGTGTGTAAACTGAATAATTACTAGAATAGCATTAGTTTTTACCTGTGTCATTGTCACGTGTTGTTTCAATTAACTTTGTCCCAGTTGCATAACATCTCTTCAGATATACTTGACCTCCTCTAATTATTGTCCTTAAACTCGCCATGTTGATGAACATGGTATTAATTTCACAATGGTAATCTGGACAATATTGAATGTCTTTAATAAATCAAGTCACTTTTATAGTAAGTCACTGTTACAGATGTAGCAATACACCCACTCCACTCCACTCCACTCTCAATGTGATTAGTAAACATTTTGGAGAGTTGTCCGAAACTGATTTAGTATAAATGATAACGAAGCAATGACAATGATAAGTAAAAGTCTATTGGTTACAATACTAATCTGTTGATGTTTATCATTTCCCACTCCCCTTAATCACTCTATGTGTTCCTGTCTATCTCTTATATGACATTACAAATTCGACTCATTTTTTGGAACTTTCAAAAGGTAGAGCAAAAAAAATTTTCCAAAAAATCTCATAAGATTTGTTGTCTATACATTCTACATGTATTTTTAAATCTGTTCCTGCTATATTTACGTCTTTATACTTTTTATACGAGTTATATTTATACAAATGTTTTTCTCTTTGTCTTTTATTTTGAAGTTTACTTCCATGTCAAACATAAAAAACCTTGGGAGAAACATAATTTCAAATAATATCTCATTTACACAAACGATAATATAAACGATTGTACAAGAATACGACCAGCAGTAAAATATAAGACCTGTTCTTTTTCGAATAACCTACCTGACTCGTGTGATAAATAAGAATAAGACAAGATTACATTTTTTACTTTAACTTATTGCACTTACAATCTTTATTGCAAGTTCACCGTGACGTCACTATTGCTAGGATTCGAAATGCACTGTCAGTACTGAAAGGATCTATTTTCTGTTCCTGTTGAACTGATGCAATAAGTTAGAATGAGACAAGTATATTTTTTCTCGCTCTAACTTATTACACCTAGAGAACCTCTAGTACAGAGAATCGCCAACTTGATCATGTGACCAGCTACTCAGCTACTCTGCGATTGGCTGGCATAACATGTACGGATTTGCGACGCCGATGCAAAACTATATATATATATTATATATAATTTGTCTGCATTGGCGTCGCAATGTCTAAATCCGTATATATTTATGCCAGCCAATCAGTTGGTCACGTGATCAAGTTGGCGATTCTCTGTACTAGAGGTTCTCTAATTGCATCAGTTCAGCAGTGCAGGAACGAAAAACAAACCTAAAATCTGTAGTTCATGTTACGTACATTATAAAGTGTGTTCCGAGTTAAGCTGGCCACACACACTTTGCGTAACAGTAACCATAAGACGTAACGTAAGAATTGACCAATCATGTTGAGAATCGTCAAGGTTGCCATTTTTGTGAATACTCGATCGTAATTGGTCAATTCTTACGTTACGTCTTACGGTTACTGGCTTGGTTTACATCGTGCATTTGATACGCGTACTATATAGTAACTTTCTATTAAATAATCTTAATATTAACAATGCATATTAACGACGACGCATTCAATCGATAAAATAAGTCTTCTTGATCAATATTATACCAGCTTAATATATCATTATTTATATACATCATCGATATTAAGATTATCTAATAGAAAGTTACTATTTAATACGCGTATCAAGTGCACGATGTAAAGCGTCTTCTACAATGGCAGTAGGAGTAGTAGTAAGAAATAAGCAGTAAGTAAATAGACCAATCACAATCGATTATTTTTGAAACGTAAGAATGGAATTGGTCAATTTGCTTACTGCTTATTTCTTACTACTACTCCTACTGCCATTGTAGAAGACGCTTAAACCAAGCCACTGTTACGGAAAGTGTGTATGACTAGCTTTAAGCTGGAACGAGTAAGTAATAAAATGTTAATATTTTGATAATTGTAGTAACAATTATATATAATATGTAAATATGTTTATATGTTTAATTAACAACCACAGTCGACAAAAATCACATAATATATTCTCCATAATTATTCACAACAGATCTCACTTTATTATACTACATGATATATCACCGCAATTCCGCTGATGTACTTTTCCTTCTGTCCCATGAAGCGGCAGCGGAATTATGTTTTAGCCAATCGTAAAATAGTTGCATATTTTCATAAAAAGTATTTTACTGAGAAACTAATTTTACTCTTTACTAATTTATCATATATTATATCATTTGTATAAAATATTATTAAAATTATTAAAAACGTAAGAAATAACATTAAAAAGTCTATTTTTTGTATTATTCCGCGTGATCCGCTTCCGCGTATTCCGCTCCATGGGACATAAGGAAAATAGAAAAAGCGCCGGAAGAAAAGCAGAACGGCTTTGATTGGTTGTACTAACTCCACACGTTCCGTTCCGCTGAAAATTTCCACTCCGTGGCACGGCGCCCTAAGGGTAATTTTCGACTACAAACGTTTTTTACTGCTGCCTGAAGTCATAACCTTCAAGTTTTAAGCGAGTTGGTTAGATTTAAATTGTTAAAGCAGTGCGGAAAACGTTTTCTGTCAGAAATTATAATCCTTGGAACATAAGAGCGATTTTTGGCGATCATCTGGTATATATATACTAGTATTCATAAATGCCTTTACACTTCTGGTATTTAGAGGATTGGACTTTTTCAATTTGGCGCATTATTTCTCAGTAAAAGCCAGTTTAAGCTAGTGGCACATAAAAAAACTTAGGCTGGAGTTCCATGACACGTATTTTCGCGTAACGCGTAACCGCGTAACCAATCACATCTATTCTTTTCTTCATCACATCTATTCTATTCTTTTAAAAGTTCCAACAAAAATACTAAACGTCGCAAATTATTGGTTACGCGTTTACGCGATACGCGAAAATACGTGTCATGGGACTCCAGCCTAAGTTTTTTATGTGCCACTAGCTTAAACTGGCCTTTACTGAGAAATAATGCGCCAAATTGAAAAAGTCCAATCCTCTAAATACTAGAAGTGTAAAGGCATTTATGAATACTAGTGTACATATACCAGATGATCGCCAAAAATCGCTCTTATGTTCCAAGGGTTACGCGAAAATATATGTCATGGGACTTCATCTTAGAGTATATATATAGAGGGGAAATGCTGGCACGAAAGTGTCTCCAAGATGTGTGCGAGAGAGAAAGCTATACGTTCCTATGCGTCCTCTGTGCGCATGCGTTGAAGTTGACAGGTTAGGTTAGGTTACAGAGTTGACAGGAGATATTTATTTTCTTCTCATAGAGCTCTGAGAATTTTTTCAGAATTTTGTATTAACTTTCTAGTACTTCAAGAAAATGCAAGAAAACGTAAAAAATGCAGTACTAAAAAGTTAATATAAAATTCTGAAAAAATTCTCCGAGCCTTATGGGAAGAAAATAAACAATTTTTATCTCTTGCTATTTTTCGGTAAAGTTGATAGAATTTAAATAAAAAAATATTGAAACCAATAATTTTGTAGTCCAGCAACAACTGACGCAATTGGCGCATGTGCACAGAGGAGGAATAGGAATGTATACCTTTCGCAGAGATTTTGGAGACATTTTTGGTCTACAGGAGGCATAGGCAATTCCCCTTCCATATATATATATATGCTCTAAGAAATTACTTCACAGATAATTATATTTAAAATATGAGGTTAGACTTACCAAACCTCTATTGTAAACCTGAACTAATAAAAAGTATGTCACTGTCCGGCGTTCGCAAACGGTTGTTCGTTTCGAACTGTTCTATCTTCGTGTTATTTCTCTCTCGCTCACTTCGCGCTGCAGTATGTACACTTACTGCACTCCGGGCAGAAAGTGCAGGGAATGCAGAGAGTGCAAGCAGAATAGACCTACGAATTCTAATGTTAGCGCGCAGCCATCGTTGCGTGCCATCGCCGCTGGATCATCGCAGTGACCATCGCAGACCAATAGTAGACAGGTGCCAATATGGCTGCTATTGCACTGCCTCGTCTTCTTGTGACATCGCCCTTTGTCCCGGCGACGATATTCTAATTCACGCCGACAAGTTCTGATCAGCGACGTACGACAGACGACACTTCCTTTAAATGGAACGGCGAACTTCAATGGAAGACTTCAGCTAGCAAAATGTCAACCCGCTCGCAGCTCACGAAAGATCTGAACGGTTTGTGATTCTGTTTGTCATAAAGTGTTTACGTTCTCTCGCGTAGATCGGCCGAGTTGTCATCAGTCATTTCGGGATGACGTATCTGCCTGTCGTCAGTGGCTTTGCATCTTGCGTTGCTTGTGTCTCACGTTTCTTTGGTGTTACATGATCAATTGGCCGTGTATTATCGTGTTTTCAATCAAGAATGTGAGAAATATAATTTTTCTTGTTGCTAAATTCGTTTAGCGTGTTCTGCTCCGACGTGCGGGAGCATCAATGCTGTCTGACGCGATCATACTCGGTAATCGAGTTTTATTGTGATGTTTGAAGAACGTATCTTTTCGCTTAGTATGGTTTAATTGCTTTATTCTACAAAAAATTAGTGAATCACGTGTTATACTCATAAATGTGAATGCACTGGACATCATTAATGCGAGCGATTGTACGCGTATAATCGCGTGAATTATTCATTGCTTGCAGAATCGGTGAAAGCTTTACTTGGCAAGCATGTGAAGATACTGTTGAAAAACGTGGTGAAATTAGAAACCAAGCAGGATAAACAAGAAAATCGTGTTCTCGTAAGTAGACCTTCTTCTCTTTCTTCTTAATAATAGTTACATTATGATTAATTTATTATGATTAATATTTATTGTCAGATCTTATTTTTAACATATCCTATCTTATTTAACACATTTATTACTATGGTTTATTCCATAGTAAGAAGACTTCCTATAGTTTACCATATATTTTTTATATGATTGTATAAAACACTGATAATATAGATAAAAACTGTTTGATAATATAGATATAGAAAAAAAAATTTGCTATCATATATGTGACACTAATATCTAGTGAAAAATCTTTGCATCATACTTATGTAACGACATTAAATGTTGAGATCGTCATAAGCTCATCTTCAGATACTATATGGCTATGAAACATTTGAGGATAAATTTAAGGCAATCTTAAATATAAGATCAGACTATGAATATCAGTCTATATTTTGCATCATAAATTGATTGAATTGATTTTTTCTATTCAAGGTATTTTCACCATGCCGCCTCTTTCTTCTATCGGCCAAAGTACCCACAAGAGTAAGCTAGTCAATTTATCAGTAGATCTTTTATCTCCTAAATGACCAATTAATTACCATTATTTAAATGTCATTCTTCCATAGATCGACTGCCATTTTCATTATCTAGAGATAACAGCCATAGAGTCCAAACGAGCGAATCAGCTATGTTTGACTGTCGGAGAGCGATATTACAACTTCACTACGACCAGCGTGGGCGCGGACACTACAGAGGTGGACGCCATGATAGAGGCCTTACACACGGCGATTCGAAATATCTTTCCTACAGTGCCACTAAAGTACATATCTCACTTATAATCGTTTAATGACACCGTTTATGTCGCTGATTATTTTTATATCGTAACGTCGTTGTTTCCAGTTACATTATACGAAAGATAGAAGTAATACCAGCTAGCAGATTGCAAAGTATACGAGGCAGTGAGTTGGCCAGGAGCACAGAAGCTACAAGACACACGGGTCCATGTGGTGGATTCTCTACGCAGTATGCGTGTATGTGCGACCTGCATGGCGTGCCGTACAGAGAGGAAGTGGCTTGGGTGAGACTGAATAGAATTGTTCGTGCCGGCGTTACCGACACAGCGGGGATTACCTGCCATAAAAGTCTTACTCAGAGAGACACGATTTTCAGGACGTCGATACGATATACCTGTCGCACGATACGAGGGAGCTGAATCTGAGAGACTTCGATCATCTGGATCAGAAGGACTTGGTGCCGATCATCTCGGCTTTGGAATACAACACTTGGTTCACGAAACTGAGGGCCTCCCACCTTAAGCTGAGCCACGAACCCTTGGAACGATTGTTACACGTTATGCGAAGGTCTCTGTCCATTCAGGAACTCTATCTGGACAATCTTGGTATCAAATGGTAAGAACTCGACGAGCGAACGCGTAGGCTTCACCGCAAAGAGAGGGGAGAGCAATCTATTTCAATGCACATTCATATGAATATTCGGTTTTAAGGGATTTCGCTCACAAGCTGTCATTGGCCTTAATTTCTAATGCTAACACGATGCTGCAAACGATAGATCTGTCGCACAATACGATTGAGGACAAAGGTACATGTTAATTGATTTCATTGATTATATCGTATCGCTTTTGCATCTCGAGTATCTTCATTCATGTGTACGTGTGTGCGTGTATATGTATGAATGAATGCGAGTGTGTTGTGTGTGTGTGTGCACCCATTAAGAGAAATCTTCATTTTTCCACACTTGTATAACTATAATTTGTTCAACTATAATTTCGAAAGTATCCTGAACGAATTTTCTTTATATTTTTTGTAGGAGCCTCTAGCTTGTGCGGGATAATAGCCAAGTTAATGCAAGGTGTGCCAATAACCACGTACTTTTATTATCCCTAGGAATTATATTAATACTCGCGATGTACGTCTCTCTTTTTTTCTTACATTTGGTTTTTCCGTAAATAGGCACTTTTGTCTGATAGTTTTTGGTTCTCGGTATTCAATCTTCCTTTACTTTCTTTCTTTCGTTTTAGTAATATAATATCCTGAGTGTTTGATCCTTGTAAATACGTTAATATATAAATTCGTATCGGCATCGAAAGTAATATTTTCTGATTGTAATCGAGCATTTGTCGCGATTGCTAATGCGTTACTAAAGGTGAGCGATATGTTTTCAAGGTGGCACACACCTGAGTGGTCCTATCGGCAAATTGCCTAAGGGTTTGCAGAAGTTGAATCTGGCCCACTGTGGATTAACCGGCAAGGGTGTGGGCCAGATAGCGCATGCGTTAAGCTTAAACAGGAGCATGCCGACTAGCTTGCGATGTCTGAATTTCTCGGAAAACACGTTGAAAGACGACATTAATGTAAGTTCCGTGAAAGGAATTAATCGTCTGTGTGATCTCTGCGACAAGTCGCCGACGGCGATTCGCGGTCGGAACGAAAGTCTTAATGTATTTCTCGATTGCAGAATCTGTGCAATTTCCTCGCGCAACCTAACAGTCTAACACATCTGGATCTTAGCGGTACGGATACTACTTTAGAATGCGTAAGTACTTTACTTTCTCCGAATGTCTTGCCCGAAATAATTGACATTTAATCGGTACTCTTTCCCCTTGCGATCACTCGATTTAGTTATTCGGTGCATTACTACGGGGTTGTGCAACTAATCTAGTCCACCTGAACGTTGCTCGAAATTCCTTTTCGAGCAAGAAGACCAAAGAGATACCTCCGAGTTTTAAGCAATTCTTCACGGCTACCCTTTCGTTGAAGTACTTAAACATATCCTCCTGCAAACTACCGTTGGAGGCATTAAAGCACTTGCTACTCGGCCTGGCGTGCAACGAAAGCACTGTTGGTCTAGAGCTTGACATGAGCGGGAACAATTTGGGCTCCATGGGCGCCCACGTTTTGGAGTCATGCATTCACGGAGTTCGATGCATAGCGTCGTTGGATATATCGGATAGTAGTACGTAACGATATATGTTGAAAGAAGAATAAAAGGTCTGTTTTTTTTTAATCTGTGCTTTCTCTGAACTTTATTCTGTAATCTCTATTTTCTTTTCTACTAAATGTCGAATATATTTATTTCACTTCAAAAGTTCAGTTTAAGTTGTAACTATAAAGAACATATCTAAATTGATAATTTCCACAAAAATTAATTTCGTTACTTGTCGCTTACTACGCGTGTGCTTTTTCACAGATATGGACGTGGATTTGGCGCAAGTTATAACGGCTGTAGGGAAAAACAAATCGATAAAGCAGTTGTACATGGGACGCAATACCGCCAGTATGAAGAGCAAGCACATAGCTGTTGTGATGGACGCTCTGGTGCAGATGCTTCAGGAGGACGATTGCGTGCTTCAAGCGTTGCACTTGCCCGATTCTCGATTGAAGGGTGATCTCTACAATCTAATCAACGCACTCGGCAGCAACACGTGTCTTCACACCCTCGATATCAGCGGCAATCAGATAGGCGATCCTGGCGCAAGATTGCTGGCGAAAGCGTTGCAGATTAATAATCATTTACGGACCATCATATACGATAAGAACAATATCACGTTACAAGGCTACGCGGATATCGTTCACGCTTTGGAGAAGTATATATCACGTCACATACGATACATAAGGAATACATTAGGTATTCACAAAGATATTATCTTGTAGAAACTGCAGTGTGCGTCACATGCCGTTCCCGATCTACGATCTGCAGCCTTGCATGAAGACTTCCGCAGAGAAAACGGAGCAATTGGCCAAGAAAATTCAGGATTTGTTGCAGAGAAACGTCACGCCGTGCAAGTATAGTCACGGACAGGCATTCAGATTACAGCAGGGATTTCTGTTGAGCTCTACGCAACAGATGGTTGATAGACTCGTTGTGCAGACGCAGGATACTATCAAAGCCTTGGCGGCGGAAAGTTGCGACGCTAATAATGATATCAATTATGCGACCGGACTTATACAAGACGCGGATAATTCCAAACAGGTACAGTGGTGAAATTCGAAGAACTTTAAATTTGATTCTTTATGTTATATTCTAGATTCATTCCTATATTCTATTACTTATGAAATTGAAGTATTCATACATGCATGTTAAGATTTACTAAAACCTTATATTTTTCAGTTATTGCCAAGATTGCACGAGGTACTGCAAAGACGGGACGAAAATAATCCGATCGAGCTGAAGTTACACGATATGGCAAACGAAATTCACAAAGTTGTAACGGTATATCTACAGGTGCGGTCTTTAAAAATATTTATATACTAAATTACCCCATTCTTAATATTATTTATAAGCTAGATTACTTTATTTCTCTATTAGATTACAAATTGTTAGCTATCCGAAATAGCTATTGTTTCTGTATAAAATCGATTGGATTTTGTATAATCTAACATGAATTTAGTTACAATGATTGATGCAGGATTCTTTGGACGCGATGTTGAAGTGCGTGAATGAACAGTGTCCTACTATATTATCGCAAACGGTGATCAGAGGCGATGAGAGTGAGCCGATCGCGGTGCAAGATGATCTTCGTAATACGTGCAAAGAGAAGAACCAAATCAATAACGAATTCATACATACCACCGTTACCGAACAAGCTGGCGCAGATATCGTTAATAAAGTCAAGTGAGTACTATTATTGGAATAATTTTGATATTAATTTATTGATCCGCTTTCAACTACATTAATCCGTTTATCTCTCTTTTTCAATTAGCGAGCTTAATTTAGCAGTTGCAGCACATATATCTGATAGAATTACGGATGAAGTAATCGAATCATTATCAAGAAGCTATAAAACTCTGGTAAGTGTGAAATTTTCAGTTTATTCAAGCTCGTAAAGTCGTTTATCATGACTTCCAAAGAAAAATTCACTAATCATTTGATAGATAATGAAAGAAAAATTTATATGAAAACGCGACTACAAACATAAAACTATACGCTGGGCTAATGTAATGAAATATTCCAGATCGGAGATTGTGATAGTCGAACGAGAAGCAGCACACCAGATGTTCTACGACCTAGTGCTGGCTCGATGAGCAGTGGAAGCGTGATCGGTGTGACTAGCGCGAGCGGTGTATCTATAACGCTACCTCCTGGCAGAGCCAGCCTCGTCTCTGAAGAGGACTGTCCGCCAGAAACATGTTCGTTGGCAAATTCCATTGGTCAATGCGTCAGTGACCAATCGCCAATGGTAAGCATCTTAAATCTCTAAATATTTCACCGTTGAAATGTTTAATGTATTAAAAACATTTAAATGTATAAATAAGTAAATTTACGTGAGACAATTGAGGTTAAAAATATTTTTTTGACCAAAGTATGTTTCTTAACAGCGAAATGTTAATATTCTGTATGTTTCACATTGCTTGATGAAAAACTAAATCATGTTACCTTCATTTTTACACGCTTATCTTCCAGAAATTGGACTATCTTAATCTGGTAGGTGTACACAAATACAAACACTGGAAATCGTACTTTGTATATAATTATCCCCGATTCAATATTACTATAATACCATCTGTTTTATAAAATCTGAAATGTCTTTATTTCGATATCCAGGCGACGCCGCATCTGTCGAATAAACGTAAAAGTCTGCACGGAAGAAAACTGAGACCAAAGTCCGTGGTAGATTCGGTGGAGGGATTGTCCGCCGACGATATTCCGGATCTCTTACCGTCGCTGCCAAAAAGTCAAGCGGAAGGTATAAATTATCATCGTCGTTTCTCCTACCAAGTTAGATACGAATCTGTCGTAATAAATATGTTTTCGCTTTACAGCTATTTCAGAAACTGAGCACTCGTTGACAGAGTCTCTGGACTCTGTCTCGGAATTGCCCAATACCGTAGGTCAGCAACTTCAGCATCTCGTCAAGTCCAGGCCGCGTCGGACGAAGACGAGAGCACCCACGAGACCGATGTTACGACCGGATCAGCCGATCGACGGCCTTGCCTTGGGTGAAGGTCTCGATGTATTCTTCCGACCGACTACACCGACAACGCCTCTGATATCACCTACGAGTGATGATAGGTTCGTTTTTTTGCAAGTATAGAATTAGTACATAATTTTAAATAGTATAATTAACTAATATAATTTTTCAGAACTTTTTTTTGACAAAAATACTTGTTCGATTTTTCATATCAATTTTTTCTATAATTTGCAGCTCTCTACACACTTTCCCAACAGACGGTAGTCCTAATCTGTCATTGACCAGTCACAAAAGTATCCCGCCGGACATGGAAAAGAAGCACAGCTGCAACTCGCCAATGCTGAAGACTCTCTTAGAACCCACTCCGCGTTCACGGTCCAGCGACAATCTGGAGAAATTTTCTCCTCTCGTCGGCAGAAGATCTCAGGGCGATTCTCCGTTGACTGCGTCGCCGCTCGCCCGACGCAATACCACCGATAGCGCTCAGACTCACGAGAGATCCGTCGCGAAAGGTGAGTCTTTCGCGAAGGAGACTTACAACAGCGCAGCTATGAACGACGCGAGCGACGATTCTAAGCGTAGTACGCTAACGAATGTCTCCAGTATGAGTCCGCGTGGCTCACGCGATATCGACGATAGCTTTGCGAGTACGTCAGACAGAGACACGTCAATAACGATGTCGAAAGAACAGGACAGTCGTAAGAGTACTGTAAAGAAATCTACCACCGACACGGACAAGTCCTCTGTGAAGCTACGGTCCACCGGATACGATCTGAGAAGTCCTATAAACGGCAGTGGCGGCGCCAAGAGCACGTCTTCTGTTGACTCGGCTAAGTCTCCGATACTGAAACCATTGGCAAAGAGCAGTGGGTCTACGAGCGACGGAAAGAGCAACGGCGCATTATTAAAGAACAAGCCGACTCCGCCAGCGACAGCTCCTAAACCACGACCGTGGAGCATGACAACTGATCGGAAATCTGGTAAAAGAATTTTAATTTATTAAATTCTTGAGTGCTGGTACATGCATGCGCTCACAGTATTAGAAATTCGCTATAAATTAGTCTTTTCAAGAACTCTCGTTTGCACGTTTATTTTTTCGGCTTGTTAGCGACTGTTTCAATTTTATTTATTTTACCATCTTCAGTTTAGAACACACACACACACACATATTGATTCATTTCTACTTGATATTATAAGTAAAGTTAGAGTGCTTTTTGTTCATTTTTTCAGTGTGCGATTCCGTACTCAAAGGGTTAATATATTCGATAAGAATTTTCTGTCGGTGTTTCTCGCGATATTCGATATTATCACATAATAATTTAGGATACTTTTACGGTGAAAAATCCATCGTAAAGGGAGCGAATAAGAACATCATTGTTCGTTCATTTGCAGGTGAATTCAGTCTGTTAAGCGACGGCTCCAGCCCGAACACCTCGGCTGGCAATACGCCGGATTCTGGTGACGCTCTCGACGAGTCGACTGATAGCGGCGTCAGCGGTCCAGCTTCTTTGCCGCCGACGTTATCGGCGAGTAGCACTGCGAGTTCGTTGAGCAACAACAGCGTCGAGAAGAGATCGGTGAGGGAACTGGCGGCGAGTCTGAACAAGAGTAAGGCTGACAGGAAGGAGAACGGTGAGTACGAGCGTCGCTTTTCGCGACCTCGGTTCGTATCCTTGGCCCGTATCGCATGGTTAATTTATAGCGACTCAATGGCTCATCAGTTCGATCCACGTTTTCCTACACGTCGATCAGCGTGCATCTTTTTATTACGCCGCTGCCGCCCTTGTGCTCCATTTTTTCTTTTTTAGTACAACTCTGAAATGTGCATGTGAACCCCTCGAATGTACGAACCACGCTGTACCTATTATTTTAGAACATACCGCACCTGCAGCATGGCGGTCGTTGCTTCAACGTTCTGTCGACCGAGCGGACGCAAAGGTATCTTTTATGTTTTTTTCTTCCTCGTGCACCGAAGCCCGTTATTATGACAGGCGTTTTTTATGTTCTTATTAATAACCATTTATGATAGTGAGCCCGTAATTGCATGCTTTTTTAATAGAACGTTAATCTACAGTAATTTTCCCCCACGCGATGATATGTAATAATTCTAACGAGTGATGCGTCAAGATTTTACTAAAAGTAAGCAAGAATTGTCTGATTAATACGCATTGACGCGTCGCAGGTAACGGAAGTACCGAGAATGGTTGATGAGAGTCGTCTCAGCTTTAAACTTCGTCGCACGTCATTCCTGCGCGATTCAAATTTCAACTACAACAACGACGTGGTTGACGTTTGATCGGGAGCGAGCGGCCGGCGTCGACGCCTCACTCACGGAGAGTGTCCTCTTCTTCCTTCGCGCGCCGTGCAGAGCCGATATCTGGCACACCGACACAGACAGTAACAGTACTTCACGTCTTCGTGCCATAGAGATGGTCTCACTGCGTTCTCCGTGTATATACCGAGCGATTTTACCATTAGCGACAGGGTATCGAAAGTTTTTACAATTACAGAAGCACTACTAATCCGTTGTTAAGGTGGCATTAGAGATCTTACGCTAGTTTTGTATGACGTTGCGTTTTTTACGCGCACGTGCGCGGCCGTATTTCGACTCAGTCATTAAACGCATGTTCTTTGCGACTTACGCTTCGTACGTTTCGTGTGACGAGACCGATTTCTCACTTTTTCAGTAATTAACGCGTCTCGACTCCTGTCGGCTCGTCGAGACGTCGAATAAAACCACTTCCATTTGCAAGCAACGTCTCATTCCGTCGATTCGATTAGCGATTATTCGTTAGTGTCGTTAGTAAGAGAGGGTGTTGGCAAAGTGTTCTATTCTTCGAATATTCGTTTTAATATGTAAATATTATTATATACATATTGTTTGTCTGTGCATCTCAACAGCAAGAACATCTAGAATAGACGAGCCACGTCGCGCGATTCCAGTGAAATGGTTTATAGAGCCTCACCGGTTTCACTTTTGCGTATTGGACGTTACGAGTAGCGACGACGCTTTATCAAAGCGGCATGTCGATTAGGGAAGAGAAAAAATGCGCAGGCGTTTTCCAAGATCGCGTTAATAGGGGCCGTGTAATATCGAGATTTCATGCACACGCGTGATTTCGTTTTGTTCGAACAGAATATGTAGTAACGTCCATTCCGATTCGCGCTCTTTCGTTTTCAGTGCGGCATGTGTGTTCTTAAACTGTGATCGACTCATAGAGATGTTCACATGTGGATTTGGTCCGTCATAGTTTCCATCACGATGATACATTCTATCGTCTCTAAGAGACACTAACAAGTAAATACGGGTATCAGAGGCAGCTCTTAACGCATTTATTATTTTATTGATGCAGCTAAGAACTTATTTGTTATTTTATCAGCGCAGTTTTCTTTTTACCGAACAATGAAAGTGATGATGTACGAAGCGAGATACACTTTAGTGAGCATTTTAATGCCGTTGCGTGTTGGCCTCGATCTCCGCCGTTTCGATTGTATTAGATTGGTGCAAAAGATTTGTCATTTCTTAATTAAGTTCTAGGATGTTTGGATATTAAACGAAAAATAGTAAATCTTCCCAAAAATTATGAATCCTTCGGAATCGGATAATTTCGTTTTCTATTTTATTAGACAAACACCGTTTGCACTAATCCGATAGAAGTTGTAAATTGATCTCAGCTTTCAGTATTGCGACACTCGACGTTACTTTTCTTTTCAAACGAGGTAACAGATATTCTTCACTGCAGAAACTCGATTGAATGATAATCATGAATAATCATCGTAAACGTAGAATTTGTGAAAAGTCACAGTGTTTTCGACGTTATTTGACAGAAGATGTAGAGTTCTAGCTACGTCTCGTCGTTCAATTGAATAAGACTTACAATACAAAATTAATATATCGAAATTGCTCGCGTTGCAAATATTCGGACGATGTCTCTTGTCACGATGAAAGCGTATACTCTTTTAGACGCGAGCGTTCGGCTCAGTGCAGTTTATACAATTTATCACGTGTCGACAATGTATTTGTCTTTTTATATAGCGATACAACGCGTGTACATACATATGTAAAAAGTATAGATTTACGTGTAGGTATAGGTATATAGTGAAAAGGAACAAAAAGTATATAAAATAACCCATAGGAATCCGCGATTCTTACGTCTTCGAGGAGAAGCAACGCGCGAGAGAAAAGAAAGCACGGATTTTGAGGCGTCTTGCGAATTTTTTTACCGTTTAGCTATTATCAGACCATGTAACACATTGATATTATACACATTATGCTGATCCCTTATACGAGGATTCATAAAACATGTGATCGTTGCATTTTATCATGATATTACACATTAAACGAAAAAAAATAAAGAGAGAAAGCATTCTCCTTCCTCTAACGTTAAAGCATGGTCGAGTATTAAAACTAAAGAAAGAAGAAGCATTCTGTATCGAAATGAAAAATTTGTGTGTGTGTGTGTGAGTCGAGTGTGTACGCGCGCACGTGTGCAGCAAAACATATACTTAATCTGCGTAAACAGGACTGTTCAACGTATATATGAGAGATGCGTTAGATAGTCATGTGTATACATATGGATACACACACGGATCTATATGAGACGTCACTGACGAAACCTGGAGAAATGTTGGAGTATTGAGAGAATTGAGGAGAGAACAAATGAGCAGGATTGGAAGTAACGCGTTAATCGTAACGTTGTTATCGTTATAAGTTTCTTTATTTTCTAATTAACGATCGTTTAATCACATTTTTCGAGTATTTAACGGTGCCGAGTATAACTTTATACATGTAGGTGATACTTATCGCAATTTCTTCTCATCCGTGTAAAAATGATAACAGTTGCCAGACGTTACAATAAGAATAGAGATGATGATATGCTAAAAAATGAAAAAAAATAAGGAACAATTTTCAAAAATCGATAAAAGAAATTATAACTTGTTATTTTTTGAGCAATAATAACGGCGTTTTTTACTTTTTTAATGATGAACAAGTTACTTTTGAAAAATAACTTTTGTAACTGCGTGAATGAGATACAATTTATTCTTACTTCTATTACATCTCATGAGACTTCTATTAAACAAAGTTACTGGTCCTAAGGCATACCTCTTTCTTACACAACTATGCATATAAATTACACGACGAAGGTGCATTCTCACTAAACTCGTATGGTCTACTCTAGATAAAACTTAAGGAGATTTCGTATCCATATTTAATCGATCCGATTCGACAGATGAATAGCTACTTAATAAGCGCGTTTCATAATATTACTTTTAGGCACGCATCTCTGACGATTCAATCGGCCGCCTTTAGGGCGGTGTAATATTATTCTTACGCACGTACCCGTGTGCGTATTTATTAGATCGATGCGACAATAACGGCCGATCTTCGCCTTTCCTTTCTTCGCCTCATCGTGATATCGTTAATACTAAATTTAAGAGCTGGCGACTCATATAGGACTCTCAGACGTATTGAAAATGAGAAGTGAATTTAAGACAATGTAATATAGAGATAGAGAACAGAGGATATAATAGTGCGAAATCGGCGATTACTTTTTTTCGCATCGATCAAAGATACAGTCTCTCAGTAGTTGACCAAAAAATTTACACATATACACATCCACTGCGTTATGAGTGATTTTATATACATATATACGACGTACACTGCGCAATGAACAATTATATTATCTTGTAGGAGGGAAACTTATGTATCCGAAGGATCAACGCGATCACGTGTGCAAAACGACTCTACCGATTATTGTGCCAAAAATGTACGCAATCTGTACGGCAATCACGCACATTTTTTATACGGTTGTAAAAGGACTTGTTGCGTTCCGTAAGGGTTCTCTCTCCAGTCAGAACCATAACGTTGATTCGATGTCGAAATGATCGATGAACCGTTGAATCAATGTTGATTCAACCCTCACGTCGAATCAACCTTGAATCAACATGTGGTTCTGACTGGGTCGTCCTCCAGCGTAGTTTTATCCATTCGCGCGCATTTGTCGAGGACACATTTTAACGGCATTGTAAATAATTGCGGGAAAATAAGGGTTTCGTCTCTTCTATTCCATGACGTTGTTATCACTCATTTCATCGAACGGAATTGCGTTACCTTCATTCGTGTATATGTGTGTATATACGTATTTATACATTATATATAGAGAAAGAGAGAGAGAGAGAGAGAAAAAAACAGACACGAAAGTCACTTCTGTGTGCGTGTGTATGCGTGTACGTATGCGTTGTAGCATGATGTGAGAGATATCTCGTATGCCGCATATTTAAATTCTTCCCCGATATACATTCCTATATACATACACGATATTCTATATGCATACGACACGAAGATACACCACACTACAGAGACAGACGATACATGATGCCGAAATACATTGTGAATATTAATGCCATCGCGTTCGACGTCGCATTCGCTCAAAAGTTCAGATGCGCAAATAACATTTGATGTTAACATTTGCAATCTATTTTGGTTTGGGCGGCTTGCTAGAAGCGTGATATAACCCGTTATCTGAATAAAATAAAGACTCGTATCACACATATGTTGATGTAGAACGATATAGAGACTCTTAATCTTTGATAGACGTTTATCTTTATTATTGGAACTGATTACAGATCTACTTAAATCAACTCACAAACAATCAATCTTCCATCTATGAAAATGAAGAGTTTTTATTAGTAGGTCTTTTCCCTCATAAATAAAAATACATATCTTTTTAGAGTAGTTATTCAAACTACCGGAATTAGTATTTATATATAATTAATTTTACAAAACCAGAGAGAAATTTGAAAGCGGCCATACCATACGTTTTGGCAGACATAAGGTGTTTTTTCGTTTCGTGACCACAATACAGTTTGATTGGTTGGTTTGGTCCACTTAACGCTCGCAACGCCTCGAGCAACAAAGATAGAATGACGCTCGTGGCGTTGCGAGCGTTAAGTGGACCAAACTAACCAACCAAACGCTACCGTGGTTACGAAACGAAAAAACGCTTCTATTTTCATGTAGAGATCCTTAAGTAGAAACGGGAGCGTCCCGATTGACCACGATACGATTGGACACAACCAACCGATATAAAGAATTATCTAGTGAATTACCAGATCGACCAATCATTACAATCTGTGTCCAATCGTATCGTCGTCAATCGGGAGAGACTGGCCATGGGAGGGCTCCGCGTGATTGGTGTACGTGAATTGTGCCCACTAGAGACCCTTTAATAAAGGCGATTTTTAGTGATCGTTTAGTACATGGACATAATATACATGGACTCCAAATGCCTTATGTTTTATCCAATAATGTATATACATAGACCAAGCATTCTTAGGGTGAACCCGATTCCGTGGTAATCGGGACGCTCCGCATTCTTATACTTCTGCTGTAGCAGTGAGTAAAGCCGGAAGTTGGCAGTTTAAAACAGAGTGAGAAAGTTGATTTGCCTCTAGGGATGGGCGATGTTTAGAAAATTAGAGGATAGTATTACATGTAGAGAAAATATTAGGGTCTCTAGAAATTCTCTATTTGCTCCTAGTGCTTTCTCATTCTATAGTATAGAAAGAATATAGCCGCTGTCAAGCTGTCAAGTGCTATATATAATGCAGTGCAGAATTAAAAGAATAAAACCGTATATTTCACTTATCTCGATATAAAATTGATATTTTATGCTGTGTATAAATAATCACAGCAATTGCTCTTATCCTGTTCTTATTCTACATGAAAAAGGTTAAGTTGCTATGACGGGATAGAGTTCTTGGATAAGGTTCTGTAAATGTGTTAGTTCTGTAAATAGTTCTATTTAGTGCTGTAAGTGCTTCAGAACGACGAATCGATTAATCACATTGCTTTGGGCGCGGTCTAACAACCGCTACAAATGTCGCGCAGCATTTCTCCCTCTTATTCTATTCCTCAGATTCGAATGAAGAAAGAGAAAGAAGTAAAAACGCTATAAAGCATTTGCAACGCCCGCTGGACCGTACCCTTTATTTAACGTTTTAAAGTATTTGCAGTGTTAAACAAACCCTCTTCTTGACAGTCAATAATATAAAGTGTGAAAGCACTAGGGACAAATCAACTTTCTCACTCTGTTTTAAACTGCCAACTTCCGGCTTCACTTTACGGACAGAATGCTTGGTCTATGTATTACGTCATTGAGGTTCTCTACTATAAGCAGCATGTTTATAGCGTGTGAGCGCACAAAGTGAACACACTGAAAGAATGTACAATTAAAATGAACAGACCTGAACCAAAAGCGATTAGAGTGCCAACTACTGCTGCGACACGTTTAGTAGAAGAGTACAAGGTATCCATCGTGGAGCAAATTACGCTGACGTTGATGCAAGGATGATCGCGTAATCGGCTCACATTGACAATCACATTCACGTTCAGAGATCGCGAACGTCTTGAAAGAGGTGCGTGAGAGAATGTCGCGTTCGAAAAACGAGAAGAACGGTAACGGCGGCAAGTGCGAGGTTAGCGTGTGGACACGTGCAATCACAGCCAACTCTGAATGGCCAGATAAGGTAAACATAACTGCGAATTTTAACCCCTGATTATTTGCTGCAATATTCCATCGACATCCAGATTTTAGACTCAGGCATTGTCCTGACAAGAATTTTTAAGATTTATCTTGCTTTGATAGCAATAATTCTCACCTTTTCAAGTTCCTTTAATGATTGAAATTTAAAAATTTCATGTACGTGTATACTACGTATGTTATGTATGCGAAGGATGCAATGACAGTTCAGGATTGATCAGCTGATATTCAATTTCGTGTTTTATAGGAAGAATTTCTTGATGTAATATATTGGACAAGACAGGTGATCGGTATTATCGTCGGTATAGCATGGGGCCTTATACCTTTGAAAGGTTTTTTAGCTCTATTGTTGTAAGTATAAAATACAAAGCAGTAATCCCTGCCTCTCTGCTATGTCACCGTTAAATCTGCATACATTTTCGAGATGACATTATTGACATTCGTCAAACGCTTTTGGTTTCAGATTTGTATTAGTCAATGCAGGAATTACATATTTATACTTTAGCAGTTTCCAACAAATCGATGAAGAAGAATTTGGTGGTGTATGGGAACTAACAAAGGAGGGATTTATGACCTCCTTTGCTGGCTTTCTGGTGAGGAGTTTGAGTGCAAGAGAATTTACATTCTCATCAGTAGGCGCATATTAATGTTTCTATTATTGTCTGTATCAATAGGTAACTTGGATCATTATATATTCTGGACTGCATTTTGACTGATTTATACTAACAATTCAACATGTACAAGGAGTAATAGCTTTTCATATGGATTGTGCTGCTGCCAAATTCGTTATACGTATGCAATAGTCATTGCCAGAGTTGGGAAGTAACTTGTTGCTTGTAATGTTGATACTATTACATCTTCTTAACGATAACTTGGTAACATTGTTGTCCTTTGCAGTAACGATAACAAATAGTGTACACTACAATGCTGTTTAGTGCCCCTGAAATGGATGGCTTTTTTACAAATTGTAAAAAAAGTGAAACTCTTGATAAGGAAGTATAACAAAAATTGTAAATTTAATTCTTGAATAATGCGATGGTTATTTTTTTTCAACAAATAACGAGTAACATGATAACGAATTATCCTTTGAAAATAACTCTCCCAACTCTGGTTATTCCTTCGCATTATTCGTTATCTATAACGTTATGTATTGTTACATACACATATGGTTTAATTGTATAAAAATCTTCTTACCTTCTCAAACGACTGCGTGTTTTAATTCCAACTAATCGGTCGAGTCGCGACAACTCGCGTTTATTAACGTGTACAACTTATGTTTATTGTAACGAGCAAAGTTATATAATAGCCCGTGATTTAAAGTTGACCATAGCGTATCGTGTTATAAGAAAATAGCTTATTTGTAGATTTTGTACTCTCTCTTATAAGAGCGTGAAGCTTCTTCGCCTTTTTACTTTATCCGATTATCAAATGTTTGCGTCCTCGCGCCTGTACCTGTTTATATTTCGAGACTATTTGTTTGCATTGGCTTTTATCTTGATAATGACGTTGATAGTGATGAAAGATGATATTGAACAATGAAGGCGCTTTGGAATGCGCGCTCAACAGCGATCGCTCCAGAACGTACAAGTCGACTGCTTTATCTTCCGGTGTGGAATCTACTCGGGCCAATCCGAAGTCTATCATCACGAATTGGGTCTCTGTGAAAAGCAAAATGAATATTACGATATAAGAAGTGATAGAAATATGTTAAGATAACACAAAAGAGCTGTTACTATACTTTACCTCGAATACGGTAAACATCGAAGTTGCAAAGCATCAGAGTGACGCTACATTGTCAATTAGCAATTCGTTTTCAATATGTCACTCAAATGAATATACCAAGTATAGTAAATAATAGAGGAAAAAGAGTAAATTCAATAGAGGAAAAAAAAATATATATACATATACACACACATATATGTAAAAGAATGTAGAATGTAACAAATGAAAGCTTCCGTTTATCATTTAATATACACGCAATTCGAGTTGTGACTTTAGGTCTGTTCTTTCGCTCTGTACTGCTGCGTTGGTGCAATGAGTTAGAGTGAAACAAATTATATATATTTGTCTCACTCTACTCTAAGAGCGAAAAAAACAGACCTCTAGTCTTTTGTGTTAGCGTTTACCGTATTCGAGACATATCGTGCAAGAACTATATTACCTTCGGGCTCATTACTGAGCTGAGTTCTAAACAGTATATTCGACGTGGTCAGATCGCCATGAATGATGTGTTTGGAGTGCAATCTGGCTATGAGCGCGCCTAACCCAGACCCGATAAATTCCAGCACCTCATCCACGTTTGTGTTCCCCGAAAGGCTTTCATCTATGAAGTCCTTCAACACCATAGTATTTTCCACGTACTCCATGTAAATTCTGCGTCTCTCTAAGTCCACCAGGTACACGGCGGGTGTCCCTACTCCTTGAAAACAAGAAGGAAATAAAAATAAAAATGAGGTAAAATTAAAAAGTTGTACGTTCAATAGAGAGTTAATGAAGCGAAATTAAAGACATATGTAATTGGGATTATATTCATTTACCGCATTTTTGAGAAAATCATTTTAATCATTAATTAAGCATGTTGCATAATCAAGGGAAATCAACGCAGCAGTCAACGCGTTAAAAACTGAAGTAGAAAAGAACAATAGACGTGAATGCAATGAGCTAGGTAGTGAGCAAGCTTGAACGCTACCAATGCGCGCGCATCAACCTAGGGCATACATTTCTGGCTGCATTCATGGATTTATTTACCCGCAGCCTTTGCACGAATAATGGCACGAGCCTCGGCTTTGATGCGATCCTTGGTGAGTCGCGCGTCCAGTTCCGGATGCCGATAACTCTTCACGAATCTCTCCTTCATCAGGCACGTCTTGCCTAGATAATGCCCCTTATAAAGGCGCGCTTCCGCGCCTTGCGCTATCAGTTCTATATTTTGCGACATTAGGACTGCTGCGGAATATACGCGAATCTGGATAACAGAAAGGAATCGTATATCAATAAAGTGTCAATATAATTTGCATACGCGCATAATGATATCCGCAAAATGATTCTCAACATTTCAAGAATGCCAGTCGATTGGCTTTTTGTCTCTGGGCGAAATATCAAGGACAATCCCGGGAGCATACAGAAGAACGTAAACAGTAAAACGTAAAGTAGCAGTAAGTAAATTGACCAACCACAATCAATGATTCTTCCTACAATTCAAGAATAATCGATTGTGATTGGTCAGTTTTATTATTGCTTACGTTATTATGCTTACGTTGTATGCTTACGGCTCTAAGGACACTCGCGGGGTCCTGCGTTGTACCTCTTGTAAGTCGAACTATTCACAGCAAAACGTACAATGCAAGAACACTATCCGGATTTCACTAGCGAATCAATGGAAGTTGTCGCTTATATGACACGAAGTATCAAGAGCAAGAATACAATCAGATAGGACAAGAATTAAATTTCTTTCGCTCTATGCGAAATGAAACGTTAAAGCCTGATCTACAATATGCTCTTTGTGTTGTTTCTTGTCTTCTGTCTTTTCTGGTTTAAATCTTAAGGTTTGAGTCAAAAAGAGATAAAGAGAAAGAAGCAGGAAGCAAAAAACACATTGTAGATCAAGCTTAAAGGGTGCGGATACCGACGCTCATGACTAGATGAAATTTCTGCACTGTTGCGAATGTTGCGTACATTTTGGCTAAGGCGTTTTATCGCCAAGATTTTCGCAGTATTGGTGACAACGCGTGTTTGCAAATATCGCGTTTGCTAATGTTCCTTGTACAATATAATAACAACGGTAATTTTAAGCACATCTCTCTCTCCTTTTAACTTTATTAAATGCAACTTTTAAGTGAACCTGAGATTCAGTTAAGTAGATCGAAAGGTTGACAAGCGAATCAAGATACTTCGTGTGAGAGGACAAAGCGACCCGCGTTAGTGCGACGAACTGAGGCGAGAACACTCGTAATGCTGCGGAATTTATCGCGAACGTTACAAGAGATACGTGAAACACGTATCTGGGGTATATTTCCGAACACATTTGCGAATAATACCATATTTGCAGGTTCCGCTGAACGAACACTCTATTGCAACTTTCTCGGATGCAGGAGCAAGCGAACAAAACGAGTCCTGTCACTCTTTAGACGAGCTGAGATTCGCCAGAGGATGAGACGAAGCGAAACGCGCCGAGATGGAGAGCGAATGGACTCTTGGAAGCAATCGCGAGAGGGCGAGGTGAAGCGAGAGCGATCGAAATCCTGCGTTATCGCCAACTCTGGGGTGATACGTGCGCATGTCCGAGTAATTGGACGCGCAAGTATCGCATGATCGCTGATCTGGTTGAAATAAATACGCATGTTTGTACATAAAAGCAGCACATATAGACCGCGCAAAAGAATGACAAAAGATACGAGCGAGCGAGCGAGCGAGCGAACGAATACGATGCGTCGACTTTCTTTTCTTTCCTTCGCGCAGGGTCTGTCCTGAGATTCGCTTGCGCGAGGCGAAACGTGCTACTAAGGGCGAGGGCGCGGGCGCGGGCGAGGGCGAGGGCGAGGAGGTAAGGTACTCGGGAGAGTGCGGCTGCTAGCGCTAGCGAGGCGAGACGAGGGCGAAACGCGAATCGATCGTTACCTCGCCGGCGTCCTGCGCGCTAATCGCTATCCCGGCGCTAGTATTCGCCCGTACTTTGTCGCCGACGGTCTGCCGTCGGTCCGCTGACGTGAAGACGGAGCGCCAGATAGTCCTTTTTTTTTTGCCTCCCTCGGTTCTAACATCGCGCGGCCAGTTGGCGATTCCGGCCCGCTTGCCGATCAGGCGGTGGCAGCGTCACAGAAGAATGAGGGACGAGGTGAAGATGGACGCGAATCGCCTGATCGCTGAAGTGTACAAACGGCCGGCGCTATGGAACCAGAGGCACATCTCCTACCACAATCGCGAGGTGACCAACCGCGTCTGGATGGAGATCGCGACGATATTCAATCTCCCCAGTACGTGGCCCCCCTCCCCGTGACTCCCCGATGCCCTCAGCACGCCGTACAGCGAGCGGATCGCTTGCTTGCACGCACGACGTGACGCGACGCGACGCGACGCGCCGCGTCCTTCGCCCATGCGTCGACCGCCAACTCGCGCGCGGTTTCTCTTACGGCGTGGACGAACACCTGGCACCGACGACTTTTTGGAGAATAATCGCGACGCCGAGGCCGATTGATCTAGAGAGCTGCGAAATCGAACGGGAGATTGACGACTTATTTTTAGCGTGTTAATCGGAATCTCTTGTGAAAGTTTCAAGCGCTATCGTATCGATCGTTTGTGAGAGGAATGTTCTCGAGATATTTTTGTCTTTTGAAAGAAGAAACGCGCTCGCGCTGATACTGGTACATTGTGTACAATGACGTCTTCCTTTAATCCCGTTTTGTGCGAGCTCCTCTTGCAAATGTGAGTTTACAAAATGAGGAAGAACCGCTGAAAGACACTGTTCACGGGAATATTGCCTTTTTTGATAAATCTGATTGAAGAGTATATCGGAAAACATTGCAGTCTCGGCTTAACCCTGTGTCACAATTATTCTCTCATTACATACAAGGTTGTCCATCTAACAGTATCCTCAAGCTTGCTCTTTTTAAAATGTTCCTTTTGAGAACAATTTTACTGAAAATCTGTAGTTTACATTATATGTACTGTGGATCTTCAATAAAATTTTCTTTCAAGAGGGTCTTTTGAAATGCAATCCAAAATACACTTTCAATGTAATTTTAAAATTCAAATTGGTTTTATGGAAAAAGTGCACGTGGAAAATACGTGCAATCGCGTGATGCACTTGAGAACGTGCGACAAAGTCAATGGAGTGTTCTCAAAATATGCAAGAGGTTTGAATGGACCACCTCGTATCTCTCGTCCTTTTTCTATTGAGATACACTGCTGATTACACTTGAATGTCGCGTGTTTCACGACAGGACGATCGTTCGCTCGTTCAACACGACGCGATACACAACGCGTGGCACATGTAGCATAACCTAACCTCACTCGTGATGGAGCATGAAGTCGGTGTCGCTTTCGTTAACGGCGCATTTTGCGTGGATACAATTGCGAATGTTTTTTACCTATGACGCAGGTCGCATGAAAACACACGTTCCAATTTCGATCGTAACCTCGATCGAGATTCGATCGCGAATCTCGCATACAAGCACGCACGCACGCACGCACGCACGGACGGACGAACGGACGGATGATTCGCTGAAGACCGCATGCGCCGAATGCGCGCGGGCGAATGTAGTCGATATCTCGCTATGTTACATATTATTATTATGATTAACCGGTAAAACACCAACACAGCAATTTCTAGCTATGTAATTTGTCACCTGACAATAATAAGAAATTATTAATTTTGTGTGTGCATGCGTATGTCTATATATTTGGAATAGGTAATGCTTACATATCTGATAAAAAATTTTAAATATAAGTTATGAATGGAGTATAAGAATTTCTTCTTTTTTGTTTCAATAACAAACTATTTTTATCTTTTTTTATCTTTTTGACAATTTTACCGAGGATGAATCAATTGTTGATTAGTCTAATCAGTTTGCCAAAAATCACTCTGAGCTTATAATTTATACGCCATTGTTGTGAAATTGTTGTGAAAGAAGATAAATCGGAAAAATGTAGTGATATCTTTCCAAATAGCACAGAGTGTCCTGGGGACGTCCCAGGGATGTCCTGAAGACGTAGAAACGTCCTTAGGACATACTCTGCACGTCCTTTGTATATCTGTGCTATTAAGGTTCCATGTGGAATTTTACAAAGAAAATTAAGACACAAGCACGTTAATGCATACTTTAGCATTTACAATATGCATTCCACCGTAAGGATTCGCACGTGTAGTTCGCGAATTGTCACACAAACTGCGCTTATATGCAAACGTCCTCCCGCGATCTGCTTGCAGAGCCAATGCTGAAAGCCAAGTGGAAAGGCCTACGAGACACGTTTCGCGCCGAGCTAAAGAAGGACCAAGTGTACCGTAAGAGCAAATTCCACCGCAACCGGCCTGTATGGATCCACTTCAAAAGTCTGCAATTCCTCAAGGAGCAAATGCTGCCACGGCCACCGATCTGGGAGCGCAGCGTCGCCAAGACGGAGGACGACCTGCAGCCGTGCGAGAGCGAGACGGAGAACGGCGCGACGGTACACGGCGGCCTCGACGGCGGTTTTGATGACCGCGACGCGATCGCCGATCACTTGCTGTCCATGGCTGGTCACGACAATGGTCATCATCAGCTAAAGCTGGACAGCGATGGTCGACGCATCGTGGACGTCAAGCGCGAGCCCGAGGACAGCTTCGACAACCTCGAGTTCCAGAGTGTCGCCGATAACTTGGCGGACAACGAGATGATGCTGCAGAACATTTCGCCCGAACAGGTGCTGATGAGCGATAATGACGGTGGCGTCGGCCTGGGCAGTGCGGATCCACTCGAGAACCGCTTCGACGACAACTACTATTTCCTCATGAGCCTGTTGCCGCACATCAGGACCTTGCCAGCAGATCGTCGGATGCTGCTGCGCATGCAGATGCAAGAGCTCGTTTACAAGGAGGTCTACAAGAAGGCCGCCGACGGCGAGCAGACGGCGAAGACTTAACTCAAATCGCGCGGGTGACCGCCGTCGGCCGTTTCTCGGCGTCGACTCGCGAGATTCCTTGTTCCCTCGAGGAGTAAGGAGTCCTGATTTCATACGTGTATAAACGAGAGAGACCCTTAGTCCTCGAGAATCGACTATGTATGATCCTTAGAAGACGCAGTGTATTTTTGATTCTCTCCGTACGAGATCGATCGGTGAAAAATAAAAGAGAGGTAGTTACCTTTTGTTAGAGAGCGATGTTGAGGAAGAATTGAACGAGCCGTAAAGAGTGCTAGTAGAACTCGAAGAATAGTCAACACTAAAGTAGACGGCCGGTGAGTTCATGTAGTGGTCCCCCGAATGAATTCAGAGAGCGGACAGTGTTTCCATACTTCGGAAGAAACGAACTTTTGTGGCGGAATCCATTTTGTCGCGAATTTTTTTCATATATTGAATCTGACGCAGTATAAAGCACCTTCCGATACCAGTACAGATCTCGCAGGTAGGCAGGTAGGTAGGCTGTCAATTATCCGTTCAGCGATGTTTGTTGGCATCTTCGATCGCTGAAAGATATCGTTTGCGGTAATTACTATGCAGATCACACATACATATAAAGACAAATTATTACAAAGAGAGAGAGTTCAATACACTTTAAATTACTCGAATACAATTAAACGTTACAATCGATACACAATTGATTATCACTTGACGTAATAATTGGCAAAGTTCAATACACTTAAAATTATCTAAACGTCGATTACCTATCTGTACATTACAATAATTATAAACTACAGTGTCCAATCAAAATGTCATCGCGCTCACTCGTTGCTCTTGCCCCCTGAAAAAGAAGAGCCCGGCAAACATCGCTTAACGCAAACGCGAAATACCGCTAGGCGGATCATCCCGGTATTAACGCGGAGAGTTACGTTGGGCACCTGAACTCGACTGCTGATGGCGACACGGCGCGGCGACACGGTTGAGCGCCACTGGTGCTTTCTCGTACCTGCGGGTACGACCGTGACGCACACCTGTGCGCCCGTGTATTCCGCGTCGCTCTACGCGGCCACGTGTGTACGTGCACGCGCATGCACACATACACACACGCACATGATGTTGTACGTGGTGCACGGGCATTTCGCTGCCGTGGAGGACGCATGCGCGCTCACCGTAGCTCCAATCGGATCCGATCGTTTCCTTCGCTTTCGCGTCGCGTCGCGACTCCTCGTCCGTGCCTACAGTTCAGTTCGGCCGATCGCTCCCGCACCGTTAGCTCCGATCGGCGTGATTCTCTCGCGGGTCTCAACTACCTGTCGTTCTGTCTCTCTCTGGCCGCCGTCAGACAGTCGAACGACGTCGCGTCACGCGTTATTCCTAACGTAACGTAGGCGTCGCGTCGCGTCGATCTCTCTCTGGTGCGAGCACAGGTGTTGGTAGAGTTTAGTGGCTGACAGGGATACACCGCGTTGCTACAGTGGTACTGCCTACTCTCTCTCTCTGTGGTCCTGTCGGAACTTATTGTCTCGTGTCGCTCAAGGTGAGTCGATTTTCTGAAATCTCAGTCGTCAGAAGCAGGAGAGAATTCGCTCTCTCCAGCTTCTCTCCGTGCAGGATGTTTCGCTGGCAGGTAACTGTTCACGACGCTCGGATTTCTCGCGACAACTTCGGGGTCGATTTTTTCTTTCCAAAGAAAATGTCTAACGAGGTCATTATTCAGGTGTCTTCTGTGAGTCAGTAATTAATATTTCGTTAAAGTGAAGTCGTATCTAAGATCGCGTCTGTGTCATCTGTTTTTTTTTTTCAATGCGTGGCTCACACGCGGAAGACTGCGCATTTTCAAACGTTAATTGCGCGAAAATCATCGCCAGTATTTCTGTCGAGGAAAAATCGACTGTGAAACAAAAAAAAAAGGAAGTCAGACACACGAGGAATGTGTCATCCGAAACGCAGTCGAGAAGCGGACGCGCTATTCGTTAAAGATGACACAGAGAAGCTTGTTTTAGACATTTATCGTCTTTTGTTTGTTGTCGTCGTCGTCGTCGTCGTCGTCATCGTCGTCGTGTGAACGTGTGCGAAAGAGTGAACGCACGCTTTGACGCAGCTTCGTGCGCTGTTACTGTAAATTTTATTATTCCATTGTACAGACCTTCGATCGTCCTCACGACGACGTTACTTTTTGTAACATACATACGAATGTATTCTATCTTGGAGAGCCGCTAATTTGCGACGTGCGTGCAATACGAGCGTGTCCAGTTTGGAAATAGAGCGTGCTCCACTCGATCTAGTCTAGCGTTTAACCCTTTAACCGCGTTCGCGCGCGTTTCGGAAAGAGGTTGATCGTGAAACGACCTGAAAAAAAAGAAACAAGGATAAGCAGATGAAGACATTGTGAGGACAGATTATACTACAAATGATTATTTTATGAGAAAAAGAAAATAAAGAGGAAGGAATTCTCTCACTGTATCACCTGGTTACTTATTACCTCGCTTGATTGATCGCGGTAATTCGCATTTATGGACATTAGGACACCGCGGAGAATGTTGAAACCTCGAACACGTAATTTCATGTGAGGCAATTATTTTAAGAAATTATTCGTCATAACGCTGGAGAGAAATACATAATGAGCAACACAACGCGTCGCCCCAATTTTACGACGAATGCATGTAAGGTAAAGGAAACCGACCAATGTGAAAATCGATCACGCGGGTTTTCTCCAAGAATGATCTATCGAGCAAGAGCGGAATAACGGTTAGGGGGTTAATTCGCTTGTTAACCGGCGATTTGCTCGAGAGAGAAAGAGAGAGAGAGAGAGAGAGACTGGACAACGCGGGACAGAACGGGACGAGACGAAACTAGACAAAACGCGGATTCCGGATACTTAAGCGCGTGTCGTCTCGAAATGAAGGTTACATATCGGAAATTCTCGCGCCCGCGTTAAATATATCGCGTTCCCTCCCTTTCCTCGACACTCCTGTCTGCGCTTTCGAGCTCTCGCTCTAAATAGCGAACTGGAAGCTCTCAGCTGCGTGAGATTCGAAACGCATCTACGCGCATACCGTTCCGAGTGACAAGTGCCTGGAGACCGAAACGTCGGTCCTCACACCCGGTGTGCACCCGCTTTGGTAAACAGCCCGAGCGAACGCAGCTGGCAATAATGTTGCGCGCAGAGGAGGCGAGATCAGGGGCGCGCGATTGTAGGTCGATTTCGCCGCTGCTATATCGTTTGTCAGCTGTGCGAAAACGCGAGCCGTCAATAAATCCGACGGTGGTACCACCGAGCGTGCGTTGGGAAAAACGCGCCCGCTTATTCTGCCGACTGACGGAATAACTACCCGCACAGCACAACGTCTAAGAGACATCTTAAAGATGCCTCTTAGATGTCGGAATGTAAGACGTCTCTGAGATATCTTTGAGACGTCTTTAAGACTTCTTATGTCCTGATTTTAGACGTTGCGTTGTGTGGGTAATTGCACCTAGATTAACTTTCCTCGAGAGCGCGCGATTAAAAGAGTCGCGGCGTGTGTATCCGCGTCATGGTGATACTCGAGAGTTTGTAGCTCGGTTATAACATGCGGAGTAGCGCGTTGACTTCCGTACAAAAGCTTGACCGATGATCGAATTTACCAAAAGCGCAACGCGAATAAATGTAATTCAAGATACGTATATGTCTGTCGTTTCATTAATTGCTGTTGATTGTGCCTTCGAATGCTATTAATTATACCCTGCACGTAACGTAATGAGGACGCGGTAGTATCATAATACTGCTCACCGATTACCGTCGCACAATTACACGGCATTCAACGTTTTTAGTCCATCGTTTGTCATAATTTTGTCACATTCAATTTGCGGCTATTTATTGATTGTTAAAACAAAAGGGAAGTTCGGAATATTTTACAAATGTGCTCAATCGGTTACGAATGTCATTTTATGAACTTAACTTTTTATTTCGACATATTCCGCAAGAATTTTAGGCATTTTCTCGCTTTTAACGTCATTATTCAAGATAGCGAGGAGACAGGTGTCTCCCAAATAGCACAGAAAATTCAGTCGTATGTCATCAATTCTAAGTTTATTTTTAGATGCAAAAAGAATTCTTTTCATTAAATTGAACTTTGAAGAATTCTTTTTGCATCTGAAAATAAATTCAGAATTGGTGACATACGACTGAATTCTTTCTTAATTCTTTTTTAATTCTCTGTATTAACTGGGCTTTCTATGCTTAATTGTTCTTTGCATCAAATTACCGAATCGAGTTTCGCGATACATTCGTTGTATATATTATATTTAACAATCGAATCGAATTTAATCTGTTTCATTTGCAATTATCTTTTTATTTCTTATATATGCTAGAGTTTCTCTCGTCGAAATTATTATTTATATATATTACATACGGGTAAATAATGGTTAAACGGCGTATTCGAAGAGCGAGTGAACAGCGCGCGGTTTGCAGTGCCTAATCGGTGCGGCTCGAAATATATTTATGTGGAACTTTATTACGTGTACGAGGTACAATAACACGCCACGCGGCTTTGTGTATTATGTACGGAATCCTTGATCCGATTTCGATTTCCTATCTATCACTAACACTGTGATATAGTGGGCGCAACTCGAGCATTCTCGCTATTCACCTTCCCTGCACTTCTTCCCTGGTCCCTTCTCGCTGCACTTGTACGCTGCGACCAGATCCGAATGATCGTTTTGTGCGAATAATAAGGTCTATAACAATTTCACGAGCCTCTCGATCTTTCCCAACTTTGCTCCTTGACGTTATCCTCGTTCCCCCTCGAACGTCGACGTTCTCCCGATTACACAAACATTTTAGATTCGCTAATTTGGCACAAGTCTTCGGGAAAATTATTTTCTACTTTGTCGTAGTGTATTTTTGAGTCGGTCATTTTTGAGGAAGGACAAAGATCTTTGTTGATTATCAATTTCTTAAAAATCCAGTCTCCTAAAAATACGCAAAAGCATGTGTTATTATCAAAAGAAAGAAGAGAGGAAGAGATATCGAGAAACATGCGGCAGTACTCCAGTTAATGGGGCGTGTTGTGATAATGCGGTTATCGCACTTTGAAAGCTCTTTTGAACTTGGCTGAGTTTTATGATACCGAAAGTCACGTGTGGGAACGGTAACGTTTGAGTGATCAATAGCTATTGATAAGTTCAACCTGCCACGGCACTTCGACACGTATCCTTATTTATTCAAAATTTCTATTTTTATCCTAAAGAATAAGTTTCCGGAGGAGCAAAATTCCTTTCAAAATCCTCGTCTCTGGTTCGCCCCATTCTCTCTCTCTCTCTCTCTCTCTCTCTCTCTCTCTCTCTCTCTCTCTCT